ATGTATTTTGTTTTTGGTCTTGTATGTTTTCTCCGATGAACAGTACACCATTATTTTTCCACTATCGTCTATAGATTCAGTTTACATTTCACTGTCAGCAACTGTCAAGTATGTGCTTGTGATTTTTATTTCTGTCACCAGCCTGAAATGTATACAATCTGATAAAGATATTTCCTCCTCTTCTGGACTTTTTTTATAATAATATTGATTTTTTTCAATTTCTCGTTGAACATACTGTCTGATTTCAGGATGAAAAAGCTGTCTACTCAAGACCATCAGGAAACATTGGAAAGTAATCGTGGTAGTAGGCAACAAATGAATCTATCGGTTATCGGGGTTTTTCACTGGTCCACCACCAGCCTATCATCTAGGTGTCTGTCGTTCTTTGTCTCTCCTTGTCTAGGCCTAATGTTTTCAGTTGATACTTCTCCCATTTTGGTTTAGGAAATAACCCGTTTTGTACTGCTGCTTTGGATTCACCTATCGAATCACCATGCAACTGTGTAAGTTAATGATAGAAGTAAGATCGAAAACATTCGTGCGTAATGAGACAAGCAACGTATAAATGTACACAGCGCAGAAATTCATCGTTCATTGTTGATTTCGTTAATAACTCAGCTGTTAATCCGGAATAGTAAATCCAATGTCGGTTACAAGATGTAGTGAATGGTTAAACGTTCATGTATTTGTTGGGTGTCGCGGAGTATTTCGTTTATTCCTCTTCCAGTAGGCGCTTGTTTCAGCTAACATTGTGTACAATATGGTTGGTTTATGGACATTCAGCCTTCCTTTGCACCTCACGGAATGCTCCTATTCGACCAAGGGTCTCAAACAACCTCTACTGAGGAAGCCCCTCTTACTGCCTTCCCGTGGCGGTGTTTTCTCACCTAAGTGAGTTTGAAAAGCCAACATCTGCGTTGATGAACTCCAGGAGGATCACCCAGGGGAGCTTACTAAAAACTGGTTCGAAACCAACCAAGAAGGGGAGTACCGACCGCATTCACTCACCTTGGTTGTTGCATTAATCAACATCAAGATGTATTGGGCACCTTAGATGTTTTGCCCTTGCGAAGAGTGTGTAATCCAATGAACTGAACACAGGCCTCCAATTCACTGCGGTTCTCACTCCACAACGCTTCCTTACTGGTCAGTCTTTCACTGTCATAGGCACAGATTGCAAATTCCATAGAAAATTCAACTGCACAACCTGGCAGTATTCGTCTCACAAACAAATCACGTTACATTCTGTTTTCACAAAGATTGATTTGTTTGTCAGTCTTAATTCAGACGTGTGTGAAATACAAATGCACACCTATTGCGCACAGGAATGCTAATCTGTGAGTCGTAGAAAAGTCAATGGACACCACCTTGATCTTTGGAGGTTATATATCTATCCCAACGACCGACTTCTATCATTTCCAACGCTGGTGCTGGTCAAGCAGGATACATCAACCACCATTGTGCTCGGAAATCAGGTTCCACTACTACCACTAACATCTAAAGTAGTTAGTACGCTCCGTCTCTTTTGTCCCCTTCGATACCACATACCCGGTTTTCACAACCAGTAAACCTCCATTGTCATGCGGTGGTTTTGGTTGTTGTCTTTCGAATGCGAGTTTGGTCGACGAAAGACGCAGGCACTGATCGACGGGATTAAGATTAAGTGAACTGTCAAAATAAAGGTACAATAAACATGCAAAATAGATAAGCGTAAAATTGCCTGTTTGCGCAATCAATGGCCTTGCATTTTCGATGGTTTTGATTGCTATCTTATGGCTTCCTGTTTGGATAATAGGGTAGAAGAAGTGAAGGGATGCGAACAATTGTTACGTTACGGTAGAGGATTGAAACAGACTTAATTTGTGAAGGAATTAAGAAGGTGCGCAAGCGCCGCTGTCCACGATATTCAGAGTCACCTCTCTATCTCCTGAATACTTGAATACACAGATCCCAAATCGGAAGCCTAAAGTAACCCACGTAACTGAGTCCCAGGTCTTTCTTTGACCATCCACGAATGCCCCTCCCCCACCACCCGTCTCTTCAAACATCGTACGCGGAAGAAGCTTGTGGTGACACGCATAACGGGTACCCTAGCCATTATAATCTACACCGGTGGATTACTTACTCTAGTGTAGTGCCGCAATTGCCTGAAACTCAAATTTCTTCATCCGTGGCGATGCTTGTCTGGTTACCACACCATACTGGTGCAATACCGCGTGGACAGCGGTGTTTGAACATTGACAGTCTATCCTTATTCTGTTTCCGCAATTGCTAGGTATTCACAACAAGTACCAACATTGACCGAACTGTTACGTCATGCACTCGACCCTTCACGGACTATCGGATGTCGCGTGTGCCATAGGTGTCACATGTTGGCGATCGCTAACCGAGCTCTCCGTATGTGTTTGTAATTATATGGCGTGGTGATTACTTTTGCTACTTTACTTTTACTTTTGCTACTCAATGATTGTATAGTAACATTTGACGTAATACGTTTCAGTTGCTGAAGCTTGTCTGGACACATAAAGAGAAAGCGTTCTGAATTCAAATTATGTGTTACGGATCACCCATGCGTGACCGTTTTGATCATTTCGGTATGCACAATTCCTCTTGTGAAAACCACAGAGAAAATAGTCTAGTCAACATTACTTCTAAATTTCTCGTTGGGATTATACTTCGCCGATTGTCTGTCGCACGTGAACGGTTCACGCTCGAGACCAGAGCTGGGTTTAGACCTGGCCGAGGCTGTAAAAACGAAATTCTCACTCTTCGTCAAATTCTAGAGCACAGAGATTCCTTTCGTAGACCCAACATCTCTATCTTCCTCGATCTGAAAGCGGCTATCGACTCAGTCGACCACTCTAAAATCTGGCGCTGCCTCTCTCTGAAGGGTGTCCCTCGAGAAGTTCATTTCAATTTCGCGATCGTTATATACTAATAGCCGAAGTTGACTTCGAGCTCACGGCACTTTTTTGCCCGAGTTCACTACAGAAAGTGGGGTTAATCAGGGTTGTTCTCTCTCTCTCCGCTTCTATTGAACTTTGCCATAGATGTAATCCTTGAAATAACCCTACCCTTGTACGCGGAGAGCGACATCGATTTGTTCTCACGTAGTAGACTGTCTGATATGGAGTATACGAACGACATTGTGTTACTAGGTGAAGATCCAGATAAGTTGCAAGCTTTTCCGGATAGATTGAGTGCTAGTCTCTACGCTCGGTATGCGTTTTGCACCTTCAGGGTGTGAAATGTTGCTTCACGATTTGGTTGGTTTAGCCCCCAACCTCATCCTGACCGGGGGAAGAATTAGAGGAAGCAGACAAATGTTTCTATTTGGACAGCTATATCTCACCTGGCCGAGGCGTCACAAATGAAGTGTCGGCACGCATACAGATGGGTCGGTTACTATTTCCCAACTTGAGACATCTGTGGCGTCATCGCGAGATCCGGTTGCCTGTGAAGTGTCGAGTGTATGCTGCAGCAGTTCGGTCAGTGTTGGTATGTGATTCAGAGATTTGGTCATTGCTGGAATTGTTTCATGAAACCCTCCTTAACGAACCGCAATATATCTTCGTTATGATACTTTTGTGCTGCTGTTTCCATGAAAACGTTTTCGGTTCACTCCTTCGTTATGTGCGTTGGGGAACTGTTTTTGTTGCAGTTTAATAGTCCGACGACCGGTGGGACCATCACTCATGGGTAAACTGTCCGAGAACGGACATTGACTTTGGTGCTTGTTTTCAAATCTTTATACTATTGCCCGTCTAGTGCAGTTTCTTATTCATCCAACATACCGTGTAATAGCCGCTCTCTTCATCAGAAACACTAGAAGCTATTTAACTGGTTCCCTCCGTAAATTTAACTGTCTTAACTTATTCATTCACTTTAAATTCTCCATTGTGCTGTACCAGTTGACGGTTTTAGTAATTGGTAATGAAACTTGGTAATTAAGAATTTTATGTTTATGTTGCACTGGTCTCGATGCCGGACGTTAATAGCGCTGTTTTTTTCAATTTACTTTTACTTTCGCAACCACCGTTTCCCGCCTCATCCAATTTCTATACATACAGACACTTATGTCAGTGATGACAATTACACCATTTCTTTCTAAACTGTGATTTCCTCTGCTCTCACTGCCTGTTTAATCTATCACAAACTATGCTGTATGTAAACAGTCGATGTAGCACCGAAAACGGGCTTAGATTCTAAATTGTGTTTTCATTAAAGCTAATGGTTGTGCAGTCTGCATTTACAAATATGAGAACTTGTAGGAGTTCAGAGAATCAAAGCAAAGCTTCTACTAAGGACTCACTGTACTTTGGAAATAAAATGCCTGCGCGTTATCATTAACTTGAAATACACTACAAACGAAAAGTAGATAAATTGAACGAGCAAAATACCTATATTGTACGACAATCTACCGGAAACTACTTTATCTTGCTCATAGGATTAGATACTCGTGAAGCTGAGCCAGCAGCTTTCTCGTGAATGATCCCTTTAGGGATTGCTTTATCGGGATACAGAAACTCATTAACCGATCACAAGCACTCGTAGAGGAATATATGAATTGATCATCAGAGTAAGTGTATTTCGCATATTGGATCGTATTCAATAAATATATGCACTCATGTATGTGTTTCGTAATCTGGGTCGGAATATGAGAAAGCCTTTGAAATTCTGTGCCGTGAACACGGCACAAATTTGAAAATAAACAAGCAAGTTTTATTTAGCTCTCATATAAGCTTTGTTATTGGGATGATAGAGCAGCGATATATTCTGCCGGATCTGTTTCCAGTCTGATAATTTCATTCAAAACGGATTCAGAAACCGGAACCCTCATGAAGTAGAGAGATGAAGTGAACAGTGAAGATGTCCAACGTTTATAAGATGGAGGTTTCATCTATGATTGCTTATACACATGAAGACCATGAATGGAGGAGCATCAGTGGTGGCCATTCAAACTGTTTATGGTCCACTGTTTTCCTTTATTTGCATACGCTTTATTCTTTCAATAAGAGAGATATTAGATCCTCCAAACGCTCTTCATCTGCTTGTAAAATGGTCTCCACCAAACGGAACCGATGAGTCATCATTGCTTTGCTGAGAGCCGATCTTTTGGGTTCTTCAAGCAGGTTTTCTGGCTTATTCTCTCTTGAACCCCGTCGTGAAATCCAGTCCGGTACACAAGCTCCTCCGCATTCTTTTGTTCCAACTAATGGTACTGGTTGAACAGAACCCCCAAAACCTGAGGTGAATGGAGGCCAGATTTCTTCATGTTCGGTCGGAGGCAAATAGCGTTGTTCGGCATGATGCATCACTGGACTGGAGTCCGTTGGTTCTTTGTATACGTGTTTTTGCTCTTTAGATGTTCTGATGCCCGAGGCAGAAGAGCTTCGACCAGGTGGTGTAACTTTTCCAATTAAGTAATGTTTACTACGTGGAAATATTTTGGGTAGTACTAAGTCACTTGCGTTGACATTAGTATCAAATGTTTTGGGCATTCCTGCATGCTGATCAGCAGAATTTTGATAAACAATGGGCTGTTCCTGATGGGCCCGAATGTTGGTTCTTCTCATACGTGGTGTCATTCCACTTAATGTGTTGTCTGTGAGATCAGCATCCGGTACCTCTGGGCTGTGTTCTTCTATCGAACGAGCCAAACTAACCTGTTCGGCATCTTTGAACCGTTTACGACTCTCATAATAGGCGTTATGTCCATCTTGATTCAGTTTTTGGGCCGTCTCTTTCGTAGCGGATACCATAATGGACGATGGAGTGGCCGAATTCCGGGGCGTCACACCCGAGTTGGGACTGTTGATGGTGACCGCACGTTGATCGACCGACAAGGTGGGACTGATTGCTTCAGCTTGACTGAATTTTGTACTAGGTGTACGCAGACCTTGCGGTCTGGCTGGTATTAGAGTTCCTCTGGGTGTTCCGGACATTTTAGTGGCTGGACTAGATCCCATTACATCATCAAAGATGGATGTCACATAGTGCTCGGTATTTAAAAATGATGGAGTTGGAATATGCTCACCGACTTCCGTACCCGGTCGCCCTGTACCGGATGCTACTGAATCGACACCAATAAGTAATTCTTCTACAGCTCGAACGTTTCCCCTTGCCGGTTCCAGACGACGTGTCATCTCAACGTCAACCACCGGTCTTCCATCACTCCGTCTACCAACTTCCCCTGGTCCCGAAGAAGTGATTGTTCCTTGTTGTATCCATATTGCTGGAGGTCCTCCACCACTGGCAGAATAATTCACATCAGTCTGTGGCACATCTAAGTCACTTTGTCGGTCCTCATCGGGTTCATCAGGATCGCTGTTTTCTCTTAATGGGAGATCATCTTGGTTCATTTCAGGCTGATGGGGAGTAGTTAATTCATCAAGCGGCAAATCGTTCTCGAAATCATTTTGTTCTTTCGACGGATGTTGGGATCCTGAATAGTTACTGCTTCTTCTACTTTGTGAAGGAGCTATACCACTTGGGGCGGATTCGAAAGTTTGTAAAGCTGGACCACCTAATCCCGAATCGCTACTGAATCCACCACCACCTGGATGTCTGCTTCCGTGATTGTCCTGATTTAATCCATCATCTCCATCCTTATTAGAGTCGTCTTTTTTCTTCGGCTTGGGTTTGAAGACTAACCCCGGACCGGTCATAAGTTGAAAATCTTGTGTTTTAGCAAAATTCGGATCTAGTTTGATTGCCAACCCAGCAAGACGATCATTCTGACTCTCGAGGCAGTCAATGTAAATACGTTGGGCTTGTAGATTCCGCAATAGGGTACGACGAACCGTTTCTTGAGCAGCGGTATGTTGAAAAAAGTACGATTCAATTTTTCGATCTTGTGCAATTTTTTCTCGTACCAATGCGAGGCAGCCCAGAAGGCGATGGGCGAGTTGTAGCACCTCAGTATTGATCTCGAGCAAACGATCTTTCATACTGCCCGAGTTAGCAGCGAAACCAAAACTAGGCATTGTTGGCCAGGAAAATGCACGTTCCGCCAAACTCATCGATCGTGTTACAACGGGCATCGCGTAATTAGCTGCCTGGCACATGATCAACTGAAATGGAAAAGAAGTTATTCTTAAATAGCGCTAAGAACACATGTATTGATGCATTATATCAATATTATTGCACACCACTCTGACAAAACAGTTCTGTTTTGCTCACCGGACCAGGTGTATCTCATCTCTGAGTATCTTTTGAGCATTGATGATTGAACTCTTTGGTTTGAGTTCATATTCTTGGATGCATTGCGTTCAGATGTGCAAGATTAAACCGATTTACGTCCAAATAGTTCACGTTAAATAAAATCGTATAAAATTTAAATATCGTCTGGGGAACCAATGAAATTTAGGCTATTCATCATGCTACAACAACAGTGGGGCTTTTATTACTTCCGTATACTTACAAATGTCCTACAAATAATAAGCGAACATTGCACTGATTCAAATGAAATTTCGAAGTTTGGCAAAGTAACTGTAGGAAGGTGATGAACTTATACATTAGGTTTGATGAAATCTGATTATGGATTAAGAGGAGTGATGAGCTAAACAAGTTCCGCATATAAATGAATTTACGACAGTCCTAGGTTAACAGTGTGTGGATAAAATAAAGTGGATGAGGTGAATAGCCAATTCGAACATACTAGTGTATTGCCCCGGCGGAACCGGGAACGGACAAGATACGAATAACAATTAGAAACACGGTGGTTCTTTGGTTATTATTTTCGGACTGCCGTTGACTAGCATTTGCTGAAACTCGTTGTTGGCAACACCGTACTTGCCATCATGTCGGACTATTCCAAATTTTGGTTTTTTATACATTCTGAAAATCCTATTACTTGCAGGTAACACAACTATCTAGACTCAGACATTACTTGAGAAGTAAAGCAACAGAGGCGGCGTCGCACTGTGCTTGTCGGTTTATTTTCTACAACTGTGGATATTTAAATCCACATTTATCGAAACCTGATTGTATCAAAACTAGCTAAAAAAACATGGACTAGCCGTAATAAGATAATTAAATGACCAAAGCTATTGGCGTTTTATTGAAAGCAGGGTTGCACAACATCAAAGCTGACTGAAGAAGAAATGTAACTAAATTAACGGAGAGAAATTCAGAACGATAAAATCCCTTCCTCCTCCAACCACACTCTCCAAGGCATCATCATGGATTGAGTCAAATTACTAAATGCTGTGAAAGAGGGGTAATGTTTTATCTATTCGGTAGCGTGTTGTTACCCTGCGCATTGTTTGAAAGTGTGATTATGTGTCGTGAATGGTACATTCATTCCTGTTGTCCTATAACTTGACCTGCGAGTTTCACTCTAAGTCCCATGAGAATACCCGATTATCGAGCACGAGAATATTTTGTATTTGTATAACTTGTGAGAATATGTCCGTGATCAGCGATCTCCGGGTCAGTTCATTGTGTTGGTGTCAAACACACACACACACACTTTCGATTCACTTAAGGAAAAAGGATGCGTAAATTCACACTCAAGCTTGAGATTAAACCCAAGTTAGATTGTATTTGTCCGCACAAAAGATTACTGCTAGTTGTAAGCATTTGCTTCAAACATTGTCAAGACCATTTGTGCTCATACGTATTCCAATGGGCACTAATAAAAATGTCTGCATCCGTTTTGATCGCGCATTCAACACGTCCACCTTGTCTAGTTGGTGACAGGTTTGGAGCTCGTTTTTTGGAAATGTGAACTATAATATTATTTGCAATTCAAAAGAGANAGACGATTTTGGGATGGTATGGCGTTTTATTTGATGAAAAAAATAATCCAAAAATTTATAGGCAACCAGTAATATGATACGATCACGTTACCAATAACCTTGCGACTCACTGAATGGTGATTAATAGGTAGTGAGAAAAGTTGGAGAAAGGTAAGGAAAAACCATTTTGTGTAGTGAAGCCATCCATTCCTACTGTATTCAGAATATTGTAATGCATGAGTCAAGGATTTTATTTTTTAAACGCGGTGACCGTTTTTCATCCTCAGAGATCAAATGCACATTTGAAAGAAATGATTGATGATGCAACAATGATTGCCTGCAACCTAATCAGAATTGTGCGGTCGTTTATTTTGTTAAACAGTTTCGGAGTGTTGATCGCTCATTTTAATTTCGGAGCGCGGCCATTTGCAGCAGAGGTAAATTTTTCGATACTGGTTTGTATTATTTGTTCAATGAGCTTCCCCCGTGATACATATGATACAGGTCCACCAAACCTTGTTATACTTTCATTATTATTTTGATCGTTTTATGATTACTATTAGAAAATTGTTAAAACGTCGAGCAATGGCTTTGTGAATATCATTCAGTTCATATGACTAAAATCTTTGTGGTCATGGTCTCT